AAAAAAAATTATTGTTTGAAGTCTTTTTTACTTTCAAGTCTGGGCAATTTCGCACGGCTCTCTAATGTCGCCATAACAGCCTCTACATTTTCCGGTATAACCCGTTTGGAAACGCTAGCTAGCAATTGAACATGTCGTTCCGTTCCTTGTATGTGTGATGGAATTTTTGGATCATTAAACGGTGGATCATCTTGATTTAAATATTCTTTCAATGTATCGTACGGAATGCTTCGCGTGAATGGTGGTTCAAATACGATATTTATATCATTCAAATTGATCATTTCCGTATAACTTGTGCAATTAAAGTTTATATCTGGTTTTTTATAAACTCTAAGTTCCATTGGCTCGTCAACATCGGTTCGATAGCGTAGAATTTTCTTGATGGCACAGTCGCGCTTTTCTTTGCTATCATCAAACAACATTGATAACAAGATATTTTCCGAATGCGCATAATATGAATTATCTTTAATTACTTGATTGACAATTTTGCGTAAACGAGGTTCTAGAAATCGTGACCAACCAATGAACTTGAAAAATAATGCACTGCCGTACACGACAGAGCTGTAATACTTGATATTGAAGTACATTGGCACATAACATTTAATTATAAATTCAACCAGAATTCTTAAATTTGCATCTGGATTTTCCGTTGTCACATATAATCGCAATAATCTAGCGGCCTTGGTGAGCCACCGAGAATGTACAATTTTCCTGGTTTGATGTTAGCCAGATCCACCGGAACCACGCCGCTAGAAATTGCATGGGCCATGTCGTATAAGTACTTCGAATCGGTGGAAAATTCAATTTTTTATGGAGCAGGGGGCATATTTTGCAACTCAATTTTCTGGAAGCCGTCCACCACCTGAAAATATATAATAATAAAATAATTAAAAATGGTTGACAATTATAATAAATGAGTGATAGCAATAACTTACCGGAAGAGTTTCACAAGTTTCGATTTGACGGCTCAGTTTTCCGGTTGCCGATCTTGGTCCAGTGCTGGTTGATTTATCCAAAGCTTCAAACAAATGCCGAAACGGAGGTTCGTTGAAGTGTAGAAAGCAAACGAAACAATGCAATGGTCTTTTTAACAGCAATTCGAATCGTCGTATAATTCCACCGTGTGGGCCAGTGTTTGTTGGCTCACCGTCAGTGCATATTCCAATTAATGCATCCAGTGATATATTTTTATCGTTGAAAAAACCATTTAATTTGGTTGTTTTGTATTCAGCGGTTTCATGTTCCAGTCTTACGTAACCAATCAATTCAGAATTGGGTTCTCTCAAAATAACAAGATGAGGTTCTTTTACCATCCTAGTATGATACTTCTCATCAATTTTATCTATCGTTAAAGTATCATCTTTTCTGCCATCGAATGAAAACGCTAACAAATTGGTATCATCTAACCGTTTGCGAAGCACTTCTTGTCTGCATTTCTCTTTTTCTCTGCGAACTTTCGATTTATCCATGATGAGAGGTTTCCCATGCTTATCTTTAATTTTAAATTCTTGCAAAAGAGCGGTTCCCAATGCTGATGCTACTCTGTCAGGCACACCAAATCTGTCACATACCAAGGCAAAGTTAAAACAATCGTATCTCTCTGTGTATTGTGAACTTGTGCTTCTATCCATATCTTCTTGAACCGGTGGCGGTGCGTATGTTGAATCATCGGGATCTTGGTATGTTGGCATTGATGACATAGACGTTGCTCCTTGCTCTTCAGTTTCCATCACAAATGCATCCATTGTTAGTCTTCTCTGATTATGTTGATCGTGCATGAACTCTTTGAGGCGTTCGGGAACCCAGCCGCATGCACATGGAGCTGCCTTCAAATCGCATTTACATGTTCCAATGTAAAAACTTGTTTCCAGAGATTTTACATACTCTGTAAATTGTTGGGTGTTGTTTCTTCTCTTGATTTGCTCTTGATACTTGTCAAGCAATTTATTCAATTTATTAAATACACTTTTTTTTCAGCATTATTTCCATACCAAGTTTTTCCCAAATTCCAATCAATTTATCTTGTACTTGAATAGTGAATGATTTATGGGAAAACTTTTTTTGTTCTGTTTTAGCACGTTCGCTTAAGTAAAAATAATATCTCAAGATATCCAGATGGGTTGGTAAATTAAGATCAGTTAAATCAGTAGACACACCAAAAACAGTAACATCATGCTTGGGTATATGACTCATTGGGTTTTCGATAGTTGTTGATGTAGTTGCTTCATCTTGCGGTGTAGAGGATGGTGGATTCATTGTAAACTTTTTGATTTGGAATGGTCACTTCACTTATTATTTTTTTTTGAAATATTTTTTTTATCTGAAATTAGCACTTCACACTCTGAGGTCTTCACAACGACTTAATGCATTCACAAAAACTGTTGCGTTATATATGGTCTACGAGACGAAGTAATAAGAATGAAATGGTAATTTCAATTCTACCTGTTGTGTCTTGTGGTGGCTTAAAAAAAACAACACAAGCAATTTTACGATCTGCAATTGTGTCACAGTGATACCTTCATTGTTTAAAAGGGTTTCGGTGCATTCCAGTGATACCTTAATTGTTAAAATGGTTGCAAAAAACGCGCATTTCTTAAGAAGGTGCCTTAAAATACCCACAAAAAGGGTTGTAAAAACAACCTTCATTTCTTAAGTAGGTGCTATAAAAAAACTACACAAGTAAGTTTACGACATGCAGCTGTGTCTTAAAAAACGCACACAACAATTTTCCGATTTGCAATTGTGTCACAGTGATACCTTCATTTTTTAAAACGGTTGAATAAAAAACCCACACAACTATGTTTACGACATGCAAATGCATCACAGTGATGCCTTGGTTTTAAAAGGGTTGTAAAAACGCTAATTTCTAATAATTTTTTTTAATTTCTTTTCTATTACTAAGTTAAATTCATTTTTTCATTTACATATGTTCTGACTAAATAAATTTGTAAAGAGAAAAATAAACTCCAAAAAGAAAAAACATAGGCATTTCGCTGATTTTTTCATGTAAAGTGCAAAACCGGCGATTTTTTGTAATGTTTGTATGGTGAACCCCGAGGGGGGTTCCAGGGGGTGTGCCACTGGCATCGGTGGGTCGGGCCTCCAAAGTTAGTGGGGGTCATACATTTGGACTCGATTGGAGCACTCTAAATGGGTCAAAGTGGGATTTTTCAAAATCTGCCCCTACCCAAAAGTTCGACCCAAATTGGGGGACATCAGAATTCGTTTTAGAGGTATGGTTCCTTCGGCAAAGTTTCTTATTTTGATCCCTAGAATATGATTTTCACAGAGCAATGGGCGATTTTTTTGCCTCCCCACAAATCGACCCGGCCTAATGTACATATTCCGAAACTTTTTTTATTTGTAAAGGCTCTCAAGAAAAACTAAAAATTCATATAAAATTACGCGCAATAAATGGAAAATAAATTTTCTTCTATAAAAAATTTCTTAAATCGGTATGCAGCTCGGTACATCTCGTCGCTACCATGTCCAACTATCGAATGTGAAAATCGGCACTTTTCAAAATTTTGATTTGCCACTAATAATTTTATTTCGTATAGCAGCATTGCTTAAGTTATTGTTTTTGACAACTTATTTGTTGGTTAATGACTGCAAATAGTTTTATAGAAAATTAGAGACGAGAAATAATACTTTCATAAAAATTTAAGTACATACATAGATTTAAAAAGCTGCTTGAATACAAAAGTTTTATGAAAATGTCACATTAAACAACTGTCTAAATCTACGTTATTTTTTATAAATAAGGCCGTAAACATTTCCTTACATCGTCAATTTCCATATTCTATTTTTACTCTTTCAATATCACTGACCAGCGCTGCAAACGATATCAACTAGTAGGCTAACAACCAGAATTTAAATTTAATACGCAAGTACTTACCGTACTACAAGTATACAGAGAGTAGATTTGCTACTCCCTTTTGGCAGCAGCAAATCTCTCTCGTACGCGATGAGAGAAAGTAGAGTACGTACTTTGTTGGAGTAATAGCAAGCAAGAATGATAGAATACAAAGATTGCGCCGATAGGGGTGCAAAAATTTTTCGTTCTGCGCATCTACGTCATAATATAAAAGTTGTTGTTGGCGATCTGTCAAATCGCATACAATTTCGACGAAAAAAAGTAAATATAGCATAAAATTTTGTTGAAAGACTAAAATAAAACAATCTGGTGGCAATTTATTGAATCGAGAAGACGGTAAATTTATTTTGTGTTTCTTTTACATTATTTATATTATTATTTTATTTCAGGTAGTGAGTAGGGCGTTCAAATAAAAATTGCATTCTGTGGCCGCCGTTGCGCTGGCAAATGGAACGAGTAAGATTTCCAAATGAAATTGAAGCCACAGCAAATAGTGCATAGCTCCAAGGCTTGGAAACAAATATAGAAGCTATGCGATGCCAGAAAGACTACAGAGAATCGAAGAGCGCTAACCAGGAAACAGCGTAAAAGGGCCAATTCGTTGAGCAAGGGCGTGCTCATAGCATGGTAAGTAGCATCTGCGACAATACATTACTTTTTACTAACTTCCAATGCGTACTTATTTCAGGAAATACAATGCAAACGGTGCCAACATAAAATTAAACTGCCAAGGCATAAGCACGAAATTTTACCTGAAACTGTGACGCCTGCCCACAGCATCAAATAAGGATATCGTTCCAATGAAACCCAATATTAACGACGATGAACTCTTTGCGAACGCTCCGGGTTTTCATCACCGGGCTTGTAAATTGATGGCACGGAGCCTCGTTTTAACAATCTTCTTTTTGCATAACCTTAGAAATGTTTTAAACACTTTCATTAATATAAACACAATAAACGAAATAAATAAACATCCTACCCACTTCAAACTGCAGACTATTTTCAAAATCTTCACTTGCAAAGTGATGCATGCAAATATAGCAAGTTTTAAATTGGAAATCCTTGCTTTGCCGGCAGAACTGGATCCACTTTTTCCTAAGTTCTGGATCTGAAGGAAAAGTAAACAAACTGCACTCTGCCACCGTTTTTCCACATTTCGCAACTGCGCACTTCATTTTACAACGTTTTTATTTTATAACTTTAACAAAAATATCACAAATCAATACGTTTTCCTCGCAAACCAATACGTTCCCCTCGCAAACCAATACGCTTCCCACCAAAAATTTTATATTATGACGTCAACACTCGAACAGCTGATTTGTAAACAAGAGTAACGGACCTGCGCAAAGCGCAATCTATTTATTCTATCATTCTTGATAGCAAGTACGTCAAGTATTTACTCTCTCAACGCCAAGTAGTGTATGTATGCAGGGTGGGCAAAAACTCGGAGTTCAAGCGAGCGAGCGAGCAAACTCCTACTCAATGCCTCGCAGACAACGAGGCGCTCGCAGCTCGTACTCGTAGCAGCAATGTGGCGAGGCACGAGAAGTTTGGCTCGCTCGCCAAACGAGCGAGCGCTGCTTGTTTCCTCGCGCTCCTATTAAACGAGCGAGGCTGTTGTGTGTTGCCTCGCTCGCAGTGCGAGGCGAGTAACTATCTGCATACTCACTCTGCTAGGAAAGACGAGTGAGCGACGAGCGAGCGCTCCGAGTGTACTATACAACACATGCATTTTTGTGCATAACAATGTGGGAATGTATGTCAATAGATTATGTACGAAAGTATGTTAATAATTGTATGTACATATGCATATATATATGTAAAGTATTATATTAGGGCAGAATTTAAAACAACAAATAAAATTGATTACATACATAAGCATAGATTATGGAATGAATTATTTTTTAGAGTCATATTCATACATGTGTACACACATAGCATGCATATTTATATATGTTTGTATGTACGTATTTATGTATATATGCATTTATGTATGTATGTACATATGCATGTATTTTGTCTTTACAGAGAAAAGTAAGTAACGAAGATATTATAATCCAAGAATGATAGAATACAAGATTGCGCCAATCGAGCTGGGAGCAACTGGCCGTGACGTCAAAAAATACCAGAATGAGAGAGCAAGACGAACTCGACAAGAAAAAGAGGAAACATCGACCAAAAGGCAGTGTTGCCAAGTTTTGACTTTGAAAAAGCACCAAATTTGTATTGATGTATTTTATGTACTTTATATGAATACATAATTTTATTGTAAGGACGCCGATTCAAAAATCAATGGCCCGTAGTCATAGTCAAAATAAAGTCGACTTTAAAGTTAGTTGCAGCTTTTTGACATAATTTTCAATGGGATATCTGTCAAAAAAGCTGCAACTAACTTTAAAGTCGACTTTATTTTGACTATGACTACGGGCCAATGTTTCTTGCACAACGGTCGATTTCTTCTGGCATGATTGAAGGTGCTGCCACATATTTCTTTGTCACATATTTGATTGTCACTGTGCCATGATTTTGTTTAAATTTTTGTAAAATTGCTTACCACACTTACGATTGCTATAAACTTTGCTTACATTTTTTTAAGATTTTCTAATTTGGTGTCTTCAAACTAAAAACAAAAGCACCAAACACGCACCAAGCACAAAACTCATAAATTTTCGCGTTTTGAATACCCACTAAATTTGGTTCGAAAAGCATCAAGTTGGCAACAGTGAATGTAAACAAAAGTATTTTATGACGTCAGCGATTGGGTGGATGCTGTCAAATCGACGAAGAGAGGGTTAGCGGTCCGCGAATGGCGCGACCTTTATTTTCTGGATCGTGATTATAATCGTTTGTGCCGCAGAAACAAAAAACAAGTAAGCACAAAATAGTTTGCTACTTGTAGCAGTTATGCTGTATAGCTGATGAATGAAATATAATCCTTGGTGAAAAATTTATTTGTGGCCTGTTGTTGAAGGACATATGTATATATGTATGGACATGTAGACATGGGAAAATTTGCGTAAACAAAGAATAGAGACCGGTTTGCATACAAGTTTGGCGTTGCGGTGGCGTCGAATTTCAAAGCAGCCGTCCACATATCCAAAATTTGGCAACGCTAAGGCTAACACAAAGCAGAAAGATCGCTGCGTCGGTCGCCAGCTGTTGCAAATAAATAAAATGAAATGAAATGTTTTTTCCTTTTAATCAAATGAAGGCAAGAAATATTATTTTTCATGCAATTATTGATATGAAATATTAATTTATCTCTCGTTAATATGTTAATTTAGTGGCCAAAGTAGTCTCTGCCAAGCTTCATTGTAGAACGCATACTTTTAACTTGCGTTCTGTCAAACCAACGCCAACTACAAAGTCAACGCGAAAGTTCTATGTGGACCAGCCTTAATTATCAAATAGTAGTTTGTATTATCCTACATACATACATATGTATGGGGGCTAAACCAGGAACATTCATTTGAAAATGCTGATGTCCTACTCATTTATGAAATGAAAGACAAAATATTGATTTTTATAAATATTATATTCTCATTTATACATATATAACATCAAAAAAGCAAAATCGCTACAGCGAAAAAAGTGTTTGAAAAACCGCATAAATTCAAATCCGCATAAAAAAGAATCGCATAAAAAGAGACCTAAGTTTATAAGTTGAAATTTTATAAGAAATTATTGAACATTAAAAACATTATACCTACATAGATATGTATGCACATATGTGCCTACCTAGTAGATAAAACTGGTCAAAACAGCACGAGTCTATTCTTCTGTGCATGAGAATATATACATAAATAAATACAAACATATGTATGTATATATATACATATCTGCATGCGTGCATACAATCCTTTACTCGAAATTCTTAGTGGCTGCAATTTTTATCCCATACATTTCTGCCGACCAAACAACGCGTTTGCCTGTCTAATCTGCTTGCCTCATTTTCCTCGCTCGTCTGCTGCTGCAAATGAGTGCCTCGCTCGCAACGACGCCCTCGCGTGGGCAGAGGTAATGAGCAACTCGTTTGCTTGCCGCTCTACTCTTGCGCTGCCCTCGTTTGCTTACTCGCTCGCTGGCTGCTCAGCGCGTGCGCTCGAACTTAACGAGTGCTCATTTGCAAACAGCCTCGCGTGTTGCTCGTGAGTTGCGCTAGCTCAGAGCAAACTAACGAGCGAGCGAGGGGCTAAAATGAGGCAAATCCGAACCCTGTATGCATGCGGAAAAAGAGTAACAATGTGTTGGGAGTAGAGTACAATGCAAGGAGTACTTATCGAACGAAATGCGGCAAATACACTTGCGCTGGACTCTAATATATACACATAAAAATATAAACATAGGCAGGTAGAAGGTCGAAAGCAGGTTTGAGCGAAAGGGAATTGACCGCAAAATGTCTTGAATGTGGCCATAAATATGCTAACTGCTTCAAAAAGATGTGCATGTTTGTGCTTTTTGTATGTGGCCCTAATTGCTGTATGCCAAGGAAAGAAATATTTTTCGGAAAATGACTGAACGCAAAATATACACATCCTTGCGGTTTGTTACACCTTGTTACATATAAACGCATACATACTTACATAATCTCCGGCGCTCCACACGCAGCCAAGCCTAAATACATCTACTACAGTTAGATACATATTTTACAGTTTACCAACTGCACACTGATATATCTGTACATATGTTTGCTGGTGCAGGCTATTAAAAAGCTATCAAAGTACAAATAGATTTTATAATTTTGTTCAAATACAAAGAAGGAAGTATGCATGCTGGGCATTACATTTTTAGAACTTACGCGTGTGTAAATACATGCGCATTTTAGAAGCGCAGTACATTTACTTTAGCCGAGTGTAGTTATACATAAATGTGTACATTTGTATGTAAGTATGTACATACGGTGGTATCACATATGTAGATAGGGAAAACACATTTCTTAGCAAGTTTGGGGAGTCTTCTTGGTTTAAAAAATGTTTGTTTTTTATGAACATGAACATTGTAGCGTTACAAAAATTCGATGAATTTTAACAAATGTTCATAAAAATTTTAAATTTTCAATTCATATTTTTCTGAATTTTTTTGAGTAGATATGCAGTTTTGTTGCTCATTAAATTTTAGTATAACAAAATGTAAGTTTGAAGTAGCTACCTAGGACTTACCGTTGACAATTTTTTTGCTGGACAACTTTTTTGTATGGGGTAAGTCCTAGCTGCTTCGAAAATGCATTTTGTTACACTCTAAGATTGATAAGGCTACGAAACTGCGCACTCAGAATGTTTTTACAAACAAACATGTTTTTAGTTACAAATTTCGATGAATTTTTGTACAAAGTTTGAAATTTTGACTTACATGGTTTTTGTTAGATAAATAGTGAGCTACACTTTCATACAAAAGTAATAAACCTTAAACGAGCGAAATTGAAATACCAAAGAAGGCTAAAACTTCCTGTAAAATGGCTGGCCTGCTGTGTAATTAGCATAGTTTAGGAAGTCTCAGGTAAACATAACGAACTTTTATTACTCTGGTTGCTAGGCCACTGGTTTAGAGATATCTGAACTATCGGTTAGGAAAGGCTCAGACGAGGTGTTCTTGGACCCGCAACCAAAAAAAGCATTTTGACCAAAATTTGATGCAAATCGAATCCCATTTGTGTCGGCTATCGTAGCCAACATCAGAAACTGGAGGAATATGTATTCCGCTCAGCAATGATTGAGTGGAGTCAAGAGGTTGCAAATAAGCTATGTAGGTGTAGATCGGCTTGGACTTTGCGAGATTGCTGGCTGGTCAATTTTCGTGTCACAAGCACCTGACTGTGACCAATATATGTACGTATAGGATAACCTCACTTGCCTCTCCTGCCTCGAAGATGATGAGATGCTCGAAAACTTTTTGTGCTTCTGCTCCGCTTTCACAGGGATAAGGTATGAAGCCTAGAACCGTGATGAGTTTGGAGGTTTTTATGAGATGGTAAAAGTAATCTCGGGTTAACCGCTATTAGAAAAAGCGTTGTGTATCTTTCTTATCTGGATTTTGAACTGAATTTCAATCTGCGTGCTTTCGAGTTGTTGCTCTCTAGTTCTTTTAGTTCGCTAGTCGTTTTCACCACAATACTATAACCTGCAGCTCTAACCAAGCGGCCATTGAAAATATGTAAGTAAAAACCCACTTTCTGGTACATTCATGCATTTTCGAGTAGTTTCCACCGCTATGCTTTTTTGATTTCTACCTACCACTCTTTATTCT